AAAAAAAAAAAAAAAAAAAAAAAAAAAGAAATTATTTGGCTGTCGAGAGAAATTAATTTATGGACACGAAGTGTGATTCGCAAATCAGCATGCGGCATGATTCGTGTTAAGAGATGATTTGGGAGAACAATTCGGTTGGTACAGGCTCCCGATGATCCTTTCGAACGCGTTCCAAAAAACATCTTGTATCGCGTCTTAATCTTATCTCGTCTTCCGGAGCCTGCCGAATTATTTTCGATGAAGGCGCGTGACAAAGCGTTTCTTTTTTTTTTTTTTTTTTTTTCTCTCCTGCGAATAAAATACGCTTCACTATTACCGTTATCTCGTATACGATACACACACATATATATATAAACGCGAATACGCGCGAATCGATAGCGCGACGTAACAATGAACTCGAAATGTCGAGTGAAGAGCGAAAAAGAAGAAGAATAAAAAGAAGAAGAAGAAGAAGAAGAAGAAAAAGAAGAAAGAGAAGGAAGAAGGTTTACCTGTTCTGGGCGATTTTCCTCAACGTGTCCGGGCTTCGTATCAGTTTGTCCAATGTTTGCGTTAAATTGGCGAAAGTAGGGCGATGAGTTCGCTCCTTTTGCCAGCAATCGAGCATCAGCTGATAGATCGCCTCCGGGCAATCCATCGGTGCTGGAAGCCTGTATCCCTTCTCGATCGACTTTATCACGTCCTGATTGGACCAGTTCCAGTACGGCCTCTCTCCGTACGACATCACCTCCCAACAAACGATCCCCATGCTCCACACGTCGGAAGCGCTGGTGAATTTTCGGAATGCTATCGCTTCCGGGGCCGTCCATCGCACCGGGATCTTTCCACCCTTTTTGCCGGAGTAAACAGTCTTGATCAAGATCCGATATTTCAAAACGTTACCACGTTTACGTTTACGAACAGTTCTCATGCGACAAAACGCAATAAAGAAGGCCTCGAAGAAGAAAAATCGAGATCGACTTACCCTGGTCGTGTACGCTCCTTCCGTCGCGCTCTCGATCTCCCTGCTCAAGCCGAAATCGGCGATCTTGCAAACGAGGGCGGCGTTCACGAGCACGTTCCTCGCGGCGAGATCCCTGTGCACGTAGTTCATCTCGGCCAGATACTGCATACCGCTCGCTATACCGCGAAGCATGCCCACGAGCTGGAGCACCTGAAACTTGCCGTCGTTCGCGCGAAGGAAAGTGTCCAGGCTGCCGTTCTCCATGAACTCGGTGATTATCATCACCGGGTTGCTCTTCGTCACGACACCTTGCAGGAATATCACGTTCGGATGCTCGAATTGGCCCATGATCGAGGCCTCGGTCAAGAAGTCGTTGCGCGCCTTATCCGCCGAGCCGGGTTTCAGTGTCTTGATGGCAACGTCGATCTCCGTTCGACCGTCTGGCGGTAACTTCAGTTTCCCGCGACAAACGTCGCCGAACTCTCCCCCACCTGTGTTCGTTTCGAGGATACGAGAAGGAGAGGGGGAAGGAAAGGCGCGAGAAAGAAAAAGGTAGAGGGGAGAGAGAGAGAGAGAAAAGAAAAAAACAGCGATTAGCAATTATCATAACGATCAAAGGAATTTTCGCGTTAATATTAGATAAATAGAAGAAAATGACGACGACGATGATGATGATGATCGTTATTATATACCTATGATCGCCTCTATCGTGATGTATCCCGCGTCGATCTCTCGCGCGAATTCTCGTACAGCTTGATTCGGGTCCTCGTACGTGTGAGGATCGACGTAACTTCTCGCCCCGCCGCCACCCGCGCCACCAGCACTCGCGGCGGCAACTCCCACTGCAGGTGTGAACAGCGGCGTGGTCACTGCAACGTCACCAAAACAGAGTTCATTATATTAACACGAGGGCCGGTGTGTTAAATTTTGACGGAATCTCGGAGCGTGAGGAATAGCATCGTTCGCTCCGTGACTGTCAACCGTATCATCCCGTGAAAACACTCACACACCCTTCCTCGATTATAAATACGAAAAATTTTTCTAAAATGC